TTCTTAAGGGAAATATATAAGTAGTCTCTAGTCTATTCTTTTTTCTTAGGTCTATTACTTTCATCTCTACAACAACAATAACAATATCATGTCTTTATCCCATTATGTGGGGTCGACTACGTGAATCATTTTTTCTCCATTGTATATTGTTAAATGTTAAATTCTCATTCAAATCTAATAAAGAAAGGTCATTTCTAATATTTTTTAACCAAGTCTTTTTAGGTCTACCTCTACCCTTCTTAAAAGTCAAATATAATACACCTACTTTCCTAACCGGATCATCGGAAGACCGCCGTTTTACATGACCAATTCACCTAATATGACTCTCTCTAATCTTACATTCCAGTGGAGCTACTCCAACCTTTTCACAAATATGCTCATTTCTGATCCTGTCTCTAAGAGTAAAACCACTCATCCACCTGAGTATCCTCATCTCTACAACACTTAACTTAATATTATGCTTTTCTTTTAATGGCCATCATTTTGCACCATAAAGCATTGCAGGTCTAACCACCATCTTATAGAATTTTCCCTTAAGTTTGAGGGGGACATTTCTATCACACAACAAGCCCGATGCATTCCTCCACTGCAACCATCCAACTTGAATTCTACTCCCCATCAATTTCACCATCACTTTGAATAATAGACCCAAAATATCTAAAATGTGTACTCTTCTTAATTACTTGATCACCCAAAATCACAATCCCCCCACCAGAACTATTATTATTAAAATTACATTCCATATATTCAATTTTAAATCAACTCAAACGAAAGCCTTTTAGACTTAAAGTTGACCTTCATAATTTAAGTTTACTTATCAATAAGAAGAATATCATAAGCAAAAAGCATACAACAAGGTACAACCTCTTGCAAATGTTTAGTTAGAACATCCATGACTAAAGCAAAAAGATATGAGCTTAAAACTGATCCTTTATATAATCCAGCTGAAATTGGAAAATACTTGGTTAAATTATCTTGTGTTTGGACACAAGTAACAGCTCCTACATACATATCCTTAATGACTTGAATATAAGCATTTATTAACCCTTTTCTTTTCTAAAACTCTCCATAGCACTTCTCTTGGAACTTTGTCATATGCTTTCTCTAAATCAATAAATATCATATATATATTCTCCTTATTCTCTCTATGCTTCTCCATCAAACCTCTCAATAAATGTATAGCTTCCATAGTAGACCTACAGAGCATTAATCCAAATTGATTTTGAGAAACATTAGTATCACGCTGCAACCTATGCTCCATAACTCTCCCATAGTTTTAAAGTATGACACAATAACTTAATTCCTTTATAATTCATACAATCTTGTGCATCACCTTTATTCTTAAAAGTAGGAATAAACACACTGATTCTTCACTTATCTGACATCTTTTTAGTCATCGAAATGATATTAATTAAAAAGTTTAGTAAGCATAACAAAAATAATGAACAAAAAATAGGGTGACCTTCTTTCTCTTGTCTCTCCCTTCCTTCCCTTCCCTCTCTTCCTTTCTTCCCAGGCAAGACAAGCAAAAATGGGGAGGGGATTGCTTGGCACCGCAGGACTACAATCCACAGTGGTGTTGTCCTACATGTAAAATTTGGGGTTATTGTATAACAGAGAACAGAGTGCCATCGCACCCGCCAACTAAGCTTCATAGACCAAATTTTCATATTTTCAGATAAATTCAATTTATAAAGTTTTGGGTTATTATAATGTATACTTCAATGTAACAACTTCTTAATGAAGCTGGGCATATCTCTCAAATTTCATGAAAAAAAATGACATAGCAATATATTTCATTTTTGTAATACAAAAGTATAAGAACATAAAAAAAGCCTTCATATTAATGGGACTAGTGTTTTTTTGCTTATTATTTATTATTATAATCCTTAAAAAGCTTCTCTAATGCCATATATATAGAAAAATAAAATCAAATAAATATGACAATTAAAGTGATAAAAAAGTTATGTGAAAAAAACATAAAAGAAAAAAAAAATGCTTCATATTATAGTTAAAAAATCCCATTGATTTTAAATTGATATATTGTTCAACTCTAAATTATTAATTGGGCATTAGTATACATTGTTATTAAAACCATCATTATAGAGAGGCAAAAGTTGAGCCACTCAGGTTGATAACCTTTGCTACTACAACATAATATAGTGATGCCATCATGAATGTTGTATTTTTTAAGTAGCATTGGCATGAGCTATGACATAATATCATTTTCAATAACTACTCATGTGATATGGAAAGAAGATGTTGGAATGTATCACCCTAAATGACGAAAATGATTGTTGATCTTTTATCCAATATGAGAATCAATGAAAAATCTTCCATAAATATTTTTGTTGGTGATCTGATATGTTAAATTGGGTTAAAGGTCACAATACATTGATTTTCCACAAGTGCAATCCCCTGTGATTAACTATATCTCAAATTTCTTACCTAAGAGAACTAACGATTAAAAATATTTATTATTATTACTGATTCAAGAAAAATGAGGATTTATGCAGCAATCTTAATCAAAATGAGAGGCAAGAATAAATGTAAGCACATGTGATCACGTAGCATGATAATATAGTAAGATAATTGGATGACTTTAGTAGAGTAATATGGAAATATTGGTTTTTAAATCAATAAAGAGGGGACTACCAAATGATAAAGGGGGCCTACTCAACATCAACATGGAGAGATATTGAAGGAAAAAAGAGACTAGACTAGAGACTATTTTTACCTATTCTTACAAACAAAAGTGAAAATTACTACACTAGAAGAAGGGATCTAATGCCATATAAACATCTTCTTAAATTTTAAACATTGGAAATGTGTATAACAAAGGGTAACGATACTATTTATACACTTTAGATAAAGGATGTCATATAAGTCCACATAAATGGATTTTTAAAACATAATTATTGTATAACAGTGCCAGTAATGTTCTAGTAGTGATTTCTGGCGTCGTTGTGTTCTCAAGCATAGCATCCAAACACTCTAGTTCAAACATAAATTAAAATTTTCATTTTAAAAAATATATATTTTTTGGATTGTTACAATAAAGGCAAGTATCAAACATTGATTGTTAATAAACGCCATGTATAGAGAGGCATCAAATATAGTAAACTAGGGAATATCAAATGTTAAGTGACAATTGATCTTATCTCAATCATTCCCCTTATAGGGTGGTATACCAAAAACCATAAAAATGGGTGATGTATAAATATTAGGCATGAAATGACAAACATTAGACATTGATTGGTCTCAGGTGATACTAAGTGGTATGCTTATTTGTTATCATTATATGATGAGAGATCGATAACTACGAAGGTGGGCTTTAAATATTGAGGATCAGTAAACATTAGACATTTGTCCTTAGTATCCCTCAGACAATTATTAATAAGGATTATTAGAGGTCAAAAATATATTGGTATAACCCTATCATTCTCTTTGTAGAAGAGAAGATTGAATGATCAAGAAGATTGTTGTAAAAATCATCATGCATAGGGTCTAATGGAAGAATCATACTTGACCTTATTTATCTCATCATGACAACTTATACATACCAGAGCCATCGAATATCCAAAAGTTCAGAAATAAGGATATATTTAGCATTCACATTTCATTCCAAAAAAAAGTATACATTAATCCAGTATATTTCAATGCACCAGATACATATAACTAACTAAGCGGATTAAAAACAAATAAATATCTTTTCGTTGAACATATCCTCAAACAAAAATTGATCATAAAAAGTCCTTATCTACTCAGATTCTGCTTTCCCATTTTCCTCTCCCGAAATAACATGCAAGTAAGACAATGAGCAAACTCCTTACTCAGTGGATTACCCAACCCCTATTAGATAATCAAAGTTCACATTTGCAAATAATAATAAAAAAAGTTCACATTTACAATAACCTAAATACACAAAATAATAGGGGAAAACTTTAACATTTATTAAATATTAACATAAATTTTAATTGTACTTATATATTTAACTTTATCAGAAATATAACATATATATTATTCTGATTTGAACATATATATAAAATATATTAATTTTAAATATTTTTGAGCGTAAATATTACTTGAACTTGAATATTAACATTAGAAATATTAATTATTTCCCTTATGTGAAAGAAAAAAAATATTACACTCAAAGTCCTCACATTCAAAAAATTAATTATGATATTACATAAGTACTCCTATTGAACCATAATAATTTCTGCTTACTAAAAATACCAACAAACTTGCACATATATTTGCTAGCGACATATGTCAATTTTATCCCCATAGTATCATCCTATTATCACAACCCGTCACGCCTTTGTTGCGTGCGGCGGTGGCCATAAAGAGCTCAACTTCCAAGCTGTCAAGCCCAAACAGCACACACTGTTGTTCCCAATCACAACCCCTCCACGTGTCAGTAATTTGAAGTAAAAATAAAAATACTCTTTTACTTCTTAAGAGTTTCGGCAATTCTCGGTTTCTTAGATTATGAAAGTAAAACTGTGGGAAGAAAGATTTCAGGATAACGGAGCAGAAAAGAACCGCCGCCGTGTCGAGAGATGACGGCGTCCAAAACTTAACGGCAATGGCCCGTCAACTCAACTCTCCGTTATTTTGTTTATATAAAGTGAAATGAAATAGACCGCTTTTGGCTAAACACTAAACGGAAAGGAGCCTAAGAGGAGACGGCGTCGAGAACTTAACGGTCTCTGTTCAAAGTATTACTGTAGCCGTTCCTGATGCCGCTTTCTTACGGGTCCAACTGGACTCCACGTCAAGAGGATGGAGGGAAGGAGCCAATGAGAACGAGGGTACAGGAACAGCAACAGGGGAGCAGGAAACTATTTGAGAATTTAGAAGCGGTGTTTCGGTCTACTCTTTTCTTCGCCATTTCGGCCCTATAGAGCGCCGTTATCCGTAAACCCGGTCCACCTTTCTTTCCTGGGTAGAGATTTTCGGGTTTACCCTTCATATGCTAGAGATATTAATAAATCCCAACGCTCCCAGCTTCGTCTTCCTTCTTCGGCTCTTACGTGCTCTCTTTCTCTCTCTTTATCTCACCTGTGAGATCTCTACCGTCTTCTTCTCTCTCTTAGAGCCGGAGAGCGGGTGGGGCCGATCCGGCGCGTGCTTCGCCGGTAATCGCTCTAGATTCCAGGTGGATCAGGGCGGGGAATAATTTAGGAGGGAGGGTAAAATTTGCTTTAAAAATAAGGAACAAAGGATTTGGATTTGGTTGCTTGCAATGCAGGGGAAAGGGGGGAATCGGGGTGTCATTAGCTTCCGCACGGCACGGATTGTGAGGGGATCACTTCGCCGAAACCCATCCGCGTTCTTCGCCTCCTCCTTCGGCTTATCGTTGCCTTACGTTATAATCAATTCTTGTGCCTATGCCGGCCTTTAAATACGAGACTAACTTTGTCTATTTTATGCTCTCTGGATCCGGAGCCCTGGCTGGCTTTGTGTTGTGTTGTGGTTCTCACTGGCGTAGTGGATTGATTTTGACTGGAAGGCCGACTATTGAGGATTGGTCCGAGGTACTATTTTTTTTGGTTTTCTTTCTCCAGTTTTCTTGAATTTTTAGAAATTCAGTTGATCTGAGTCGATTTTTATGATTTATAGCTCTGGATTTAGGTTTGAACTCCATTTCTTTTGGTGGAGTGCTTTTTTTATCTGATTTTCCGAACCATCTTACTGATTCTTGAGCTGGAGTTGCTTGTTTCTGCCTGAACTAATTTTAAAAAAATGTCCGTTTGAGCTAATGAATTTTTCGAATTTCTCTTGATTTTTAATTTTATTTTATTTTGGTGATCTATCTCTCTGAATTACAGGGATCCGTCATGTTTTGCTTAGGGGTTGGTTCGCTTAGGAGATTTTGCGACGGATGAGGTAGTCTTGTATTTATAATTTAGAATTTTGCTTTGCTTTTTTGCTTTTTGGGGCTTGGAGCTGCATGATGCCATCCCATATGATGGATCAGAGAAATCTGTTGTCAACCGTCATGCCGTCGGCCCCGTCATCTTCATTTTCCGAAGAAAGCAGCCTTCCTTCGAAGGTGAGGACGTTAGATGCGGTTTTCTTGTTTGGTTTCCATGCGCATATTTTGTGATTTTCTTGTTTGCTTCAGAGCATTGATCAGAACTTATTAGAAAAGTGAATTTCTGGTCTGTAGAGGATCATTTGCACGCCGTATTTTTATTTTCTGATTACTCTTATTCTTCATTATTTTCCAGAGGCAGCTCGATTTCCGAAAGGCTGAGTCTATGCCAGAGAAATCTGGTGAGTTTCATGTAACTTGATGACTCAAATAGACATATCTCTATTTCCCAAAGTTTAACATTTTGGCTCCTTATGCTTTGGCAGTTTAGATTTTAATGCTCATGGAATTTGTATGAAATTTTTATGACATTGTAAAATTTTATCATATCTTAATAAAAAATACTCCAAATTGGTTTCAATAATAGTTTAGGGAAGTGAGAGAAATACTCAGAAGTAAGCTCTTTCAATGCCATGGCAACAATATTATGGTTGATACTGTGTCTTTCCTTTCTTTACGTCGATCCAATTTACTTTGTATAGCAAAACTTAGGGTTAGTCTGGCTTATGTACATTTTCTTTTAAGCGAGGTATTGGAATGGGAGGTTGTTGTGTCTGTTTCTAATGTTTCCTACAGCATGTCATATTTTATAATTCACCATTGCATTACCAATTTTTAATTTAACTGAACTTGTGGCTTTGTAGAATTCTATACACGGGGATAAATTAGTAGTGTCGAGCATGATTATAATTCAAAGAATGCTATCAACTAAGTTATGCTGCAAACCGTGTTTTGCCACTTTTTTTTAAAAGAATGCTTTGCCACTTATCTCCTTTTATTTAACTAGCAACCTCATGTATTGCATCAAAACTTTGCTTCTGATCATCAAAAGAGCGAAATTTGTATATGGTGAAAGAGCAGACTTTTAGTTCTATATTTGCTTATTTCATCGGGATAAATAAAAAGGGTGAATAGATGATTAATGCAATGATTATCATATTTCTATTCATTAGAGGAATCCCACCAGGCAGGCATTAAATTCAACAGAATGACAACAAAAAGATAAATTATTTATCACCAATAATTACTTTTATCCTTTATGGTAGAGATCTTAGCTTTCCCCAAGTAGTTGGTATAAGGCTAACGATGATGATGATGATGGTATGGAGATCCTAGTCATACATTGAAACATAATGTAAGAAAAACAATGAATGTGATTGCAAATAAAAGCTATGAGTGCCTACTGTTATGAAACGGATGATCAAGGTGGATAAAGGACAATTTTTGTTCGGTGGCAACTCCAAGAAGCCACAAAATTGAGAGGAGGAAGAAGAAGAGCTCAAAGCAAGGCCAAACTTATTCATTTCATTGATGCCCTAATACACTCCAAAGGGATATATATATATATATATATATATGAAGCAATAAAAAACAGTCTAGGACTCCTTAAGCTACCTATTAAGTATTTAATATCCATGACTATCTATGAACTCAATAGCTATCTATCCATTACATTTAATAACCCTCATAATCCATAACAAATGCCTAAAACCTACACACTACAACAACTTTCATACATGCTCTAGAAAGGATCATTAACAGGCATGGATCTGCTGGTTAGACTAACCTAGCTTCTTTCACATTTGTTCTAGGAAGGATTATTATTTAGTTTAAAATGGTTCTATCATCTAAATAAATATTTTATGATGGCATAGATATTGGTCTATATGAAGAAAATATTGTTAAGTTTAGAACTAAGAATATTATTGATTTTGTGGGACTTATTGTGCTGCTTGCATAACCAGCAAATATGTTCAAGATGGACAGTTTTAGTCGTCCCATCATTTTCCCTTGCATATTTGTACTTGAGCAGCAAAAGAACAGAGTTTATTCATAAAAAATTGCAAACAGAGTTTCATGAGAAAGCAGTACAGATTGTGATCCAGGTAATATGAAGTATAAACTAAGCAACAAGATTCAGCAAAATCATAAAAATCATCTAATGGAATACCTTGGTTCTTTCACAATTTGCCATTTTATTGTATGGTGATGACCATGCATTATGTAGCAAAACTAATTTGGGAATATATTTTCTGTAAAGAAAGTTGTTTTATTAAGCCATAATTTGATAAAAATTGAACAACCTGGCAGAAATTCAACAATAAATTGGGATGATTCTTATTACTTTTAAGTTCCAAGTAAAAAAGAAAGTGCATATTGAAGATTTCCTAAATTAGAAGCTAGTATTCACATGCCTAATGTTTGGAAGTAAAATAAACGTAACAAATCAACGTTTTTAAAAGAGCACTTTAGGATGAGTGAAGGGAAGTGATGTACTGGCCCAATGCTTCGTGCTGCTAAGTGTAAGCTCATAGTAAGGCACATTTGTGACAGACCGTGTTGCTGTGTAGTGCGCGTGCTTAACAGCATCATATAAAATTACTAGGCATGGACGTTCACCGTACATCACTATTTGTCATAGTCATTGAGTCATTGTCATGTATGAGCTAGTCATTTCTTGATCATTTCTTCATGCTCTCCTGTTCTCTAGTTTGTTTGTATGCTTCTCATTTGTTTTTATTGTTGTTGTTAGCAGCTTTTTGCTCACAATTTTCTTTTCAAGAATGCTTTTCCATAGCTATGTTCATGCATTATGTGTGAACTCTCGTTTACTTGAAATTAAAAGAAATAGCATTTTGGAGTTGTTGAGCTTCTGTTATATTTGGTTGAAGGTCAGTGCTTTGATGCTTTTAATCATGTGATGTAAAATTCAGTCTTAGTACTAAGAAAACATTGCTATTGGTTTATGATCTATTGGGAGTCTCTAGTTAAAATTGGTAAAATTGGTATGTTCAGTTGTACTTTCATGGGGCATTATTTAATCACTATTGTTTTTTGAACCTCTCATGTGCAAGCTTGACAATGACCAAGTGTTCTATCTAAATATCCCTAGCATGAAGTATTGATGGAGTATGTTATTGTTGCACATGTTAATATATGCCACTAATAGTGGTATAGCCACACAATATAACATGCAAAGCCTTACCAAATAGCTCTAGTTCAAGCGGCATGCTACTTTTTCTCTAGATATAGAGATCATAAGTTTGAACGTGGAATGTGAACTTCTTAAAGCTTAACATTTATTGGCTCTTTACTTAATTCTCTCTCTGTAGCTGGTCCTGTAATTAATCTTGTGCCTATTTTTACCTTGTCTTGTGCCCTATTTTTAATATAATAAAATATTTGGGATATATTTCTATCCTTGGAAAAAATACACTATCCAAGGCATCATAATTGTCTGAAATGAAATAATGATGGCCAAGGCTGACAATTTGCATGGCAAGTTTTAAGACCATAATCTGTTATGTCAGAATCCATTCTTTATATAACAGAATTTTACATTGTATAGCACATGAAGTAAATCCGTTGTCAAGTGGAGTGTGGTGAAAAGAAGGCATTTGGGGATGAGTTATACGGAACAGAGTTTGAACTGTATTGTACTCTTGTGTAAAGATGCAATGGATAACCAGGAGTGCCTCAAATTTTTCTCTGTTTATTGTGCTTCATATGTTAAGCATGGTACCATATAAAAAAGGTTTTCTGGTTAGCCTACTGACTCTGGCTATGAGACTACTTTTTTAAATATGGTCTTATCCTTATAAAAAAACTATTTGCTTTCTTAAAATTTATCCTTCATACGCTAATGGGTCTGCTCAAGCTGTTCCAAATAAGCTTTTTAGAACAGCAAAGACAGTAAAACTAATTTATATGTTTGATTTTTTAGGACGAGAAGAAATGTCGTTAATGCCTGGAGGCAAGTCATTTTCATCATCACCTTTGGAAAAGCTTCATCCGATGGGAGGAAATTATATGAACTTTTTAGAACCTCCACGAACTTTTCTTTCCAAAGGACAGAAAGCTAGGACATCTGCTGGGAATAATCTGTTGGGTGCAGAAAGCCCTTCTAACCTGTCAGTGACTTGTTTGGGAGCTTCTAACCCGGAGATCTTTTCTCAAGAAAATCCATTCATGCAACCGGCTCCTAATGGTTTTCATTATGAGAACAGCCTCTTTTCGAGCTCTTTGTCAGAAACATTTGGCAAATGTGCGTGGTTTCTTTTGTTATGCTTGCCTGTTCTGTAAGCTGCTTCTCTGAGGCAGTTTAATTTTATGATTACTAAGCCTGTCGTAGTTGATATAGTTTTGAATATAATTTTTTAAATTTATTGATTAAAATTTTTTATTGGAAAAATATCTATCTGGTCTCATTGGCTAACTTTGTATACTTATATTTTTGGGCCTTGCATATAAAAATGTTTTTAATCTGAAATTGGCTTGCCCCTTTTTCATGTTGATAATGCAGCGGTGTTGTTGTCAAGTGAAGCACATTTTGGCAAATCAGTTGATGCAAATGACTCTAAATTTGTGGAAGATGGGCCTTTGGAGTCCTTGAAAGAAATCGAAGCCCAGACAATTGGAGATCTCCTCCCTAATGATGATGATTTATTGTCAGGAGTGATTGATGATATTGAATGTGTTGCGCAAGCGAATAGTGGTGATGAAGATGATTTATTCTGCAGCGGGGGAGGGATGGAGCTAGAATCAGATGAAAGTTTTAACTGCAGTAGAACATCGGATTTTATCCGTGGAGTGAATGGCACTTACGCTGGTGAAGTGTATGGAAAACAAACCTCCCGGATCCTTCTTGTGAGAAATATCAAAAGCAATGTTGAAGATGCTGAGCTGAGGATTCTCTTTGAGGTATTTCTTTCCATACATGTCAATAATCCTTTTATCATGTTTAAACATATCTTTATAGGATGACAATGTCTTTCACACCATCTACTCGTGTGTTTCTTTAGCAATTTGGAGACATTCGTAGACTTCATACCGTCAGCAAAAATCAGGGGTTTGTATTGGTGTCCTACTATGACATAAGATCAGCACGGAATGCTATGAGAGCTATTCAGGACAGATTGCTGAGGCAACATAAGATTGACTTAAACTATTATTTTCCAAAGGTAATTCTACTCGTACGTTTTGGCTCTCGTAAATATATTGAAGTTTATTTGACTGCAATTTACTTCCTCTAGAATTATGTGTACTTCTTGGAAGTTGATAGGCTTCTTTTCATGCATATATATATATTTTTAACTATAGAGGATTATAGTCATTATACTTTATGGAAGTTTAAACACACCGGTCTGATGTCAGTTGTTGCATTTTCATAGTCGTTGCGCTTTAGGATTTTGATAGAAAATACTTGAGTTTGCAAGTAACTCTAAGGGAAATACTTGAGTTCATAAGCAAACCTAACAGTGATTGGTGAAAAACAACCAGAAAACTGCTGAATACAAAAGAATACAACAATGGTACAACAACCTTCTTGAGAAATATGGAGAAAACTGAGAGAAAAACGAAGAATTCCACTACCCGATGCAGGAAAACAGCAAACGATACAAGTTTCTTCAATTCGAGAGGAAGAAACAACTCTCCAAATCTCTAGTCAATCCTAGAACCCAAAGGAACAAACCCTAGATCTCAAATTTGATTTCAAACTCAAGATCAAATCCTAATTCTAGCATTAGCAACTAATTAGAGCCAAAGGAGAAATAAAAAATCCATAAACTGCCCCTCATTCAAATATTTCCCTCCAAAGCAATTATTAATCAAGGTGTGGGCTCCATAGGAGTAGCCGGCCCCTTCCCTCTCCCTTCCTTGGGCCGGCGGCTGTAGAATAAAACCAGTCCGCTAGGGACCGGTTCAAAAGGGACAGCTGGTCCTTATTGGGCCAACCTAACAGATTTTCAAAGAGTAGGAAATAAGGTTAAACTACTGATGGTTTTTCATGTCATGATTTTATTCTCTTGGTAAAGTGTTCTTTCAAATTGTTGGTCCGTTGCTTATTGTATAAATTTATCTGTCAATCGGTGATGGAAGTTGGAACATAAATGTTTTTAATTTTGTAACTTTTGATCTTTCTGTGTTTAAAACATGTGCTTCAATAGTTGTTGGATTTGTGAGTCGCTCTTGGGATTATAGCCTTTCCCTTTGAAGTCTGTTCCCATTGTTGTCGGGTGAGCAGTGAGTGTAATTATGTAAATCTAAACTGTGCCGGCACTCCATATGAAATTTAACATTTTAAATTTCTAAGAAGGTACTGCTGCCATAACGATTCTGGAATAATAATTGTTCTTGACAGGAATTGATTAATATGCGGAGTAAAAATAGTTCTTATTCTTAAATTTCATGGTAATAATGCTTGGTTTTTTTAGCCCTGTTTCTACAGTTATTTCCTTTCTGAAATTAATAAGATTACAAGAATATGTCCATTATGAGTAACTATCCTAGCAGTACGTCCAATATACATCATATACATATTCCAAATGTACCTGTTTGTACATTGTTTTTTACATGTACATGGCATGGAAATTTTTAGCATTTCGAGACACAAACTTGAGCTGTACAGGGGATCTAATTAGATATATATTTTAATCTTTTATAATTGAAAACTTACATCATCCTTGGTTATAATCATCATCATTAGTCTTATCCTAATTATTTGGGGTGCCATCATACTTTATTACTTATAAATTAATATGATTTATGATAAAAATAGACTAGCTATTATTCTGTATCAAATGGTGAAGCACAAGAATTAGGTAACGCTTGAAGTGAGAATTATATTACTATGACATGATTGTAAGGAAGAATGATTTGGTATATAATTGAGTTAGGATGACACAATTGGTGTATGATGTGTCTTAACACATCTCACAAAGTGCTTAAGAAGCGTCCAAGTGGTGTCCCCCAAGTGCCAGAATTTATTTAAAAAAAAGGTGAAAAACACGTTTTGTATGTCTAATAGTCTTGATGTTTGATTGCCCATTTTAAAGTGTTGGTACTTGCAATTTTTCATTTTCACGATTAAGCTGACAAACTTGCTGATTATTCGACTTCCTTTTTGCAGTTTCAGCAATTTTTTTAATGTTTATTTCTCATTGGTCATTTTATAGCAGGAGAACTCTTCGGAGCATCACATTGATAATGATACACTTATTGTATTCAATCTTGATTCCACTGTTTCAAGTGATGATATACGCCAAATATTTGGTTCTTATGGCGAAATAAAAGAGGTTGGTTGCACAAATAATCTTGTGATGTAACTATTGAATTTTATGCACCAAGTTAGTACTCTTAAATGTTGATTTGCAGATTTTTCATGATTCATGCAATCAAAACCAAAGAGCGATAGAGTTCTATGATGTTAGAGCTGCTGAAGCTGCATTTTATGCTTTAAACATGAGTGAGATTGCTGGCAAGAGAATTAAGATTGAGCCTGTCTGTGCTGGAGCTGGATGGCGGTGGTATTTTCCTTACAAAATTCAATTGTCTTTAGCTTTTATCCCCTATGAAAGTGCATTTTCTGTTATTAGCCTTCATCTCAACAAATGAGTTCAAAATTAATAGGGGAGCATTGTTTCTAATGCACTTGGTTGTATTAGAACTTTGTCTTGTAGATACATTGCTTGTATATTCCTTCAGCAATTATTCTTCCAAGCATAAGGATTGCTTCATTTATTTATTCATGAGATCTATCACTCCAGTAGTACCTTTGATTAATGAAATACTTTGGGGCAATAACTGAACGTCTAATCTGCTGATATTTGCTCTGGTTTACATAACCTTAACTCTCATTTCAGCTAAAAGGTCGATTGCATTTCCAAGTTAGGATACAAACTAACTAATGCACATAGTCTCGCTCTTTACATCCCCTTCAATTCTAATTCTCTAAATATCTTGACCTCTTTTTTTTTTTTTTTTTTTTTTACGAGCACAGGCTCAAACAAAGCTTGCTTCTCCTAGTACTAGTGCAAATCAAATGATTGATTGTGAACATTGATTATTCAAATAGAGCTATCTTTGGGCTTTATGAAGGAGAAAAAGGGCCTACCACTATTTTTGACTCATGTTTCGGTGTGAAAATGATATGCAACATATCTCATCTTGATAGAAAGGAAGTGAAAGGGATTCATAATGTGTGGATGAAAAGGAGAAATATAGAGTAAGGAGAACCAGAATGATGTAGTGTAGGGTAGCAAATGAACCAATACGATTGGCTTGGTTAGAGCTCATCCATGATTGTTAATTCATTAATCGAATAAGTTTGAATATTTTTAGAAATACCATGTTGTGAAATGAACAAGCTTGAATAGAATTATTTTAAGTTCATTGAGAAACTCCATATAATATATGATATAAAGCTCAACTAAGGCTCAACTTTTTTATTTCATAATTTGCATAAATTAATATCTCAATTCCTAACTAAATGCTAGTCATAAAATTAGCTAACATTAATCATTAAGATTAATTTAGTTTTCTCCTAAAACAGCACATACATTCACTTCAAATCTAATATCTTTTAAATCGAAACACTCGAATTTTCTTCCATAACCCCCCAAAAAAAAATCTTGCAACCCCTCGTCTTTCTCCTGCTAATCCCCCCTCCACCACCCTTAAAAATCCTAAAATCATATAGGACAAAGAAGAGCGAGGAAAGGTGCCAGGAGCTTGCTAGAGAATGTGCGATCAGATCTTGTTGGAGTAGGCATCGACTGGATAGGCTGTGTGAGGACAAAAAAGCGAGGAAGGAGGCAGGAGCTTGCTGATGATGGTGGAATGGGATATTGTTGGAGAAAGCATGAGTGGCACTAGTCTTGTGTGAATAAAATTGGATTTATTGGCGGATCTTGTTGGAGGATTGGAGTAGCGGTTTATGAACAAGAATAGAGTTGCTTCTAAAGTCTAGAGGTAAGGCTTCTTTTAAAAGCTTGTTTAAGTACAACCTCATTTTCTAATCTCAACATACCTAGCTCAATATGGTTTATTTATATTTCTAAATATCCTGCTCGTTTAAAGCTCAATAAACAAATATGAACAAAGCTAGAGCCGAGCTCAAGAAAAGCTCAAATTGAATTTAAATGAACCGGCTTGAACACTCAAAAAACTCAAATTGAGCTCAAGTCAAGCTTAAACATAATTTTGGTAGACGAGCTCGAGACGGAACAACTTCCTGCTTGGCTTGGTTTGGTTCACTTGTCGTCCTAATGTAAATATATAGGACAAACTTTGGTTTGGGATTTTCTCAAGGAATTTTATGCTTAGAGATATGCAAATGAAAAAATGAAGAAAGTATGTGATGCATATGAAATTATTGATGAAATTTTAATCAATCTTGTAGAGCAAAATGCACAAGTGCAAAGATTTGATTAGTATCAAACATTTAATATAATGGATTATTAGCGATTTTTTGATATTTCATGGAAGCTAGTAATTTAATAATAGATCTCCCAATAAAAATAATAAAAAAATATTTAGAACATGTAAAGGGAAAATGTAGATTTAGACCACACTATTAAAATTCAGATATGTAGCCAAATTGAATTGAACTAATCTCACTTTCAAACAATTTTTAAGAAAAAAAAATGAAATCAAGTTCAAAATCTCATATTTATGGAAGAGGGGTGTATAGAAAAAAAAAACTTGACGATAAGCAATGAATTTTTTTTTTGTGTGTTTCAGCTTATTGATTGTAAGGTATGTTCAATGTTCATGCTCTTTTTAAGTTGAATTGATTACAAGGACTGTTGGTTCCACTATATCTTATTTCTTCAAGATAGAGGCTAAGTTTGCAAACATGAGGACTAGAAGGTACGGGAATTTTGACTTGCCTTACATTGAGGTAATTGTAAGGTTCATTGGTTTCAATGTACATTTTGTCTCCAAGATAGAGACTCATGTTTATGGGTGTAAGGCACTTGAATTTTTGGTGCTATCTTTTGATGAGTACAAGATATGTGATGGAGTAGAAAATTGTGGAATCAATCATTGATCTTGATGTGCCTTACTCTTGGTCTTAGGGAATGAGAGGGACATGGAGAGGTGTAGAGAGAGAAGGAATAACATAGACATATGGGTCTAAAATATAGGGGAGAGAAACATAAAGGCTCAATGATCAAATGCATGAAACATGAATCATACAACTATGTAGTTGATAGTCAATTTAATGACAAATCAGGTCATAGGACCGCAATAGTAGATTAGTGTTTTGTGTTGCTCTTGCATTAATTATGATGTAGAGTAGGTCATGTGAGAGAAGAATCAATTATTGCCTGAGATAAAGATAGAGAGGGGATAAGAAGCATCAACTTTCATTCTTTGATCAATTGATTCCAAAATAAGCTAGGAATTCCTATTTATTGGAACATGATTACAAAACATAAGATTGAAATCAATTCTAATTTAATCATAACTAATAATATAAATTCAGACCGAATATCTTTGAAAATGATCATTAATTCTTATTTTAATAAATTAAAGCCAAAGCTTCTACTTTAAATGAAATAATTGAAATAAGTCCTAAACTTGATTTCTTTTGCTATATTAATTTCTTGAGGCCCAATAAAACTCTTCTTCTAATTAATAAGATTGTTCATGAGTTTCATTGCATACCAAGTGTGCTTTATGTAATTTGTTATCTTAATGTTTGGAATTTTCCAACTTACCTTACATTTTCGTTCCTTTGAAGCCATGTTTAAAAAAATACGATAGATTTTGGTATTTGCTTTTGTGCCTTGTAAATTTTTTTAATAAAATGTACATTCTTGAATTTTGGAGCATTCCTTATATTCTTCTGTAACATGTTATCAACATAGAAATTCATATGCATGCAATTTTTCAAAAACTCTCTCTATATAGAGAGAGAGAGGGAGAGGGACTATGAATGCACATCTCTTTAACATTCTTTTGTAGATCTTTAGTTCTGCATTATTTAAGGAATTAAGCAAATGGGTGAGATCTTTTATATTTATGATTTTTAAATATTTGTAATTGCATGGTTTTTACGCTGAAATCTTGTGGTAAATAAAACAAAATTTTGTTTTTAGTATTTAAAATTAGAGGAAAAGAAAGCTAGCCTTTTTATTCATTTCCTCCAAATATTCTCATTGAAAATGATATATTGTAGAATATTATTGAAAATTCAAATATAAAATCAATTACTCTTGGGTCCACCTTAAGATCAATGGGTGATTCAAATTGGTCTACGTTTTTTCAAAAACCCTATAACCAAGTTGTCGGTCTCCAAAGTGGCACATACTCCTTATAATATAATAGAAATAATCAAGATCATGTGGTCATATATGTGACCCTTTGCTGAATGTTGGAAAGTGTCAACGATGTTTTTTTTTTTATAAAGTTACATTTATCCTCGTTCAAAGTTATGTAAACCTTAAAACTATTGACCTCGATATGTACTTAACTGTTGATGGTAATGTCTCTGTCATGCTTAATTTCATGGATATCATCTTCTTTTGGTGCATAGAGTAGTTTTTAATAGTCCTCATAGAGAGTGCTTGCAAGAACATGCTCGGTCCATACATGACAACTAGGTCATGTTGATGTCTAGGTCTACCTCCCAATTAACAATTTCAGCACCTTGAAGAATTTGGCAAGCAACTACCTTGGGCTTAGCTCTACTTTTAGGTAGAAGAAGAGTTTCACGCCAAGGTTAAGCCCAATAGAGTTTGATGAGATCATGATCACACACCACGGGTCGAAGATCCAAGCATGCATATTCTTCATCAATGCCCGCACCACTCTATCTCTTTTTGAGCTATGGTGATGATGCTCGATGGGAGCTTTTTGGCTAGTAGCTTGCGGTTACAAATTGTTGAGTCAATAACATCTCATGGTCTTTGTCAATTTTTCTCAATTGGGGGATTTTAAGGATATAAAAGATTTTAATGTATATGTCATAGTATCATATAAGCATCATGAAATGGGTAAGTTGAAGTGTGTAATTAGACTCATTAACTCAATTGTATTGTTTAAAAATGTGGACTAATGTGAAGCAATTCCTTGACCTGATATCCTAGGATGCAATTTATTACAAAAAAAAAAAAATGTCATAGTTTCATTGTTTGTTATATATAAGAGTTGGGTTCTATTAGCACTCGTGCTTCTCTTCTTATAGGTTCCTTGAATCTTCCATCATATTTGGCTTCTTGAATTCTTATAGAGGAGTTGGATTATATTACCACAATATTGTCTTTTTGGACGTTCTTTTAATCCTTTTTCATATTTGGCCTCCCGAGTTCTCTTTCTGATCAGATAATTATCATAATGCTTAAAGATTGAGGCTTCAAAGAGGTAGGTTTAAGCCTCCAAGCTGAAATCTGTTGGATTTTAGGTATGGTAGGTTCCGCTTTCTTTAACTTCATTGAATTACCTGCCTTTTGCAAATAACTTTATACATTTATAGGCTTCTGAAGGGAGGGTGCTCTCCAATGTGCTAAGGTCAAACTGATACTTAGGTTTTGCACTGCTTTTAAATTTTTTATGTTGCTGTTTCTTTCTGGTTGACCGGTATATACTTCATAGAGATGCCCTTCCATTGTTTTTTAGCATTTTGTTCCTCCCGCAGAAGAAAAAATTCTCACTAATTTTGTATGTTCTGACTGCATGTGTAACATCCTTCTTTTTGACAGCTTAGGCAGACAGTCATCATTAGAACTCGAACTGGAAGGTTCTACGATATGCATGAATGGAAGTTCCCCTAGTAACTCAATGCTGGAAATTGGTGGTATGGCGCCTTTTCATCTTTAAGATGATTTTGCTTTTGCTCTCATTTTAAGTCACTTTTTTTTTCCTCATATGCTCTCATCTTTAGTAGCTTTAGTTATCTTTTATGATCTTGCAATTCTATGCCTTCTCTTCTTATTGTATGGTCTCTCTGCATTTCAGCTCAATCTAGAACTATAGGATATGGAGCTAATATTTCAGTGGGACTTGATAGTGGATCTATTCAGAGCTCTGCACTCCAGACACTTATCAGTCCATTCATGGAGAGCAAATTCCCAGGAATATCTTCTACTGTGCCTCGTAGTATGTCATCACCCATTAGGGTCACAATGGTGGGAAATCACAGCAGCCAATCTAACCTTGATGACCTTAGCCATTCTTTAGGTCAAATGAACTTTGGTTTTCAAAACATACCAACCTTCCATCCTCATTCATTACCTGAATTCCATAATGGACCGATTAGTAGCATCCCTTATAATACCATAAGAGCCGTTCCATCAATGGGTACAAATATTAATTCCAGGATTGCTGATGGAATTGATACTCAGCAAAATAGACAGGGGCCAGGTCACATCAACAGCCATTCCTTTGATCATAAAGAAGGTAAATCTGTTCAAGTAAAACTAATTTTTGTTGTTGATGATTTTTCTTAATAGCATTTGAAATTCCAGGTAAGGCAATTTCCCCTATAAACGGACATCAATACATTCAAAACAATTCAAATATAAATTTCCACCATTCTCCTGGTTCTCTGATGTGGCAAAATTCACCATCATTTGTGAACAACTTTCCTGCTGCTCCTCAACCGTTGCATGGTCTTCCAAGAGGACCATCTCATATAATGAACAACTTCGTTCCTCTACACCACCATCATGTTGGTTCTGCACCTGCTCTGAATCCCTCACTCTGGGGAAGGCGCACTACATATGCAGGGGATTGCATAGAAGCACCTTCTATCCACCACCCCGGCTCGCTCGGAAACATGGGATTCTCTGGATCCTCTCAGATGCATCCATTTGGAATATCTTCTCATAACATTTTTACTCATGATTGTCGAAACTGCATTGACCCATCAGCTTCTCCACATGTCGGGAGCCCGTCGCCTCAGCAGAGGTCTCACATACTTCATGGAAGGAATAGCTTAAATTCCGCTGCCACCGCTTATGATTCTCCCGGCGAGAGGATCAGGAGCCGACGATGTGATTCAACTGCTAGTCAACTTGATAACAAGAAGCAATTTGATCTGGATATCAGTCGAATTGTCCGCGGGGAAGATTCTAGAACTACCCTCATGATAAAGAACATTCCTAACAAGTAAGCGGAGGCATTCAATTCCTTGTTGTTTAGAATTATTTGCAAGTGATTCAATAACAAGCTAAACTCGTGTGTTTGAAATTTGATTCCTAGGTACACATCTAAGATGCTTTTGGCTACAATCGATGAGCACCACAAAGGAACTTACGATTTCATCTATTTGCCTATTGATTTCAAGGTAAACTTTATCATTGTTATATATAAGGCGGAATCAGTCGTCTTGTTATCTAACATAGACTTTGTTTTATTCCTCGTTCTTCAGAATAAATGCAATGTGGGCTATGCTTTTATCAACTTGAATGATCCTAAGCATATTATTCCATTCCACCAGGTTAGATTCATTAAACCCTCTACACTTACATAACATACACCACTAATTTGCTAAACCTGTTATAAATCTGCATATATCATTTCGCGATAACAGAGAAGATCTTTGCAGGCATTTAACGGTAAGAAATGGGAGAAATTCAATAGTGAAAAAGTGGCTTCACTTGCATACGCAAGAATTCAAGGCAAAGCTGCCCTGATTGCTCATTTCCAGAATTCTAGTCTGATGAACGAAGACAAGCGGTGCCGCCCCATCCTTTTCCACTCAGATGGTCCAAATGCTGGGGATCAGGTAAAAAACGTCAGGAGTCATCAACTACTGAGACTTTTTTTTTAATATTTGACATTTAAGTGGCGACCTGCAATGCTTTAATATTTGATATTTTGAAAATTCTATAAGATGGTGGTGAGACCTGCAATGCTTTATGGTGCCGAATGTTGGCCATTAAAATAGAAGCATGATATTAAGTTAAGTGTCGCGGAGATGAGGATGCTTAGGTGGATGAGTGGCTTTACCTTTAAAGATAAGATACGAAATGAGCTTATACGTGAAAAGGTTGGAGTAGCTCTAGTGGAAGATAAGATTAGAGAGAGTCGCCTTAGATGGTTTGGTCACATTAAATGGAGGCATTCCCATGACCCGGTTAGGAAAGTTGAGGTATTAGATTTGACTTATATTAAAAAAGGCAGAGGTAAACCTAAAAAGACTTGGTTAGAAAATATTAGAAATGATCTTTCTGTATTAGATTTAAATGAGAATTTGACTTTTAACATGACACAATGGCGAAAAAAGATTCATGTAGCCAACCCCACGTAGTGGGACAAAGGCTTGATGTTCTTGTTGTTGTATTTGATATTTAAGTGGTTGTTTGGCTACAAGCAGGATTCGGTAAATCATGTAAATTCAGAATTAGGCTTTGTTTGGGACGGCTTTTTGTCTGCTTTTAAAGTGATTTTTTAGTACAAAATTTAAAAATTTTGAACTAAAAAATCACTTTACGAAGCTGTAAGAAATCCATCCCAAACTAAGCCTTGGTAAATCTTCACAGAATTAAAATCTCGGAATTATTTGGCATGAAAAAACTGTTAGATTTTGCTTAGTCTCAGCAAACTGTTTGCTTAATTATTTCAAGATTTGATATTATTATAGTAGAAATCCTTCAATCTGTCAAAGTTTATAAAATGGTGGGATTTAATAATTAACGGGTTTTTGAAAGGATTAGAGCTGATTCTCACTTAAACCCTAAACCCTAAAATAGAATACCAAAATGTTAGGGATTAATATATTTCCCGTGATTAATTTGTTTGTCTTCCAGGAACCCTTTCCCATGGGAACTCATATCCGATCAAGACCTGGAAGATCCAGGACTACAAACAATGAAGAGGCGCAACCTCGAAGTCCGCCGGACTCTGGAAATGGAGATGATCTGTCCAACAACAGCACAGATTCTTCTTCAAGCTCTGCCAAAGACTGAGTGATCCAACAAGCCATTTTTCCTGGGGGCACTAACCTTACAACCTACAAAGCTTTAAACTTTCTTTCTCACTTCCGCTTTCTCCACAGCTTTAAAAACCAACAAAAAGCAAAAAGCACAAGGAGTTGAGATTTTGGTGGCTGAGGTGAATAAAAAGAAACTGTACAGCAAGATTTTGAGAGACAAAAGGGAGAGCCATTATTGTCGATATTCCCTCCCCTGCACATTCTTCTATTTTTGTTATTTCCTATATTTCTAATCCCCTTTTTATTATTATTTCTAAGTTTTGTCGCTCTATTTTATATGGAGCTATGGCTTTTTTTGTTTTGTTCTTTTTTGGAGCTGGGCAGAGTCGAGAGAACTCAGTTCAGTTTGTGAAGTTATCGTCTTGTTTGTAACATCTATTATATAGCCCGAACTGTAGCAGCGATATCTTTTTGCTATGCTATTTGACATCTTAGTCAGGCTGATCTGTATCCTTCTTTACAGATTTCATTATCTTAAGAAAGTTCAGTTCTTCTTTGGATTTTACTTTTATTATTGTTCATTTCTGTTTTTTAAAATTGATAGTCAAGTATGTGACGTGGCTTATTTTCATTTATTTTTACTTTATTATTGCTCATTTTTTTACTTTATTAATGAACAAATAACTAATTAAGGTGATTTATGATATTTTTTTACTCATGCTAGATATGAATTAGCAATAATTAATTATGACTTAATTTAGATAATGCTTAAGTGCTAGTATAGCTAAAATATTAATTAAATCATATTTATACAATCTTATTTCATTTGATATTATCAAAAAAATTTCTACTTTGTTTTCTATAATTATAAAATATTTTTTTTGATATAGCTAACAAATAAAATAAAATTTAAACAAGACTAAATATAAAGTAGTGAAAACAAATGAAATTCAACCACTTATGTTAGTTGTGCTGCAGAGATGTTATTTAATGTGAATAATACATTTAATTATGAGCAGTTGGGATTAAAGCAGTTATGACCCTAACAGTTAAAATCATGAATGTATTCAATTAAAGTAGCTCAAAATCGATTTGACCGTTGGGTTTTGGTAACCACACACAGTGCCATCCTGACTGCAGAGAAACCTAACTCTGTTATCTGTCTGGCTGGCTGCTTTTATATCTAAGCATGACATTGGAGTTTGGTGGGTTATTGCTTGTTATGGTGAGCAAAATGAACTAATTTCTCTTTGTTTTTTATGTCTCAGTTAGAATTGTTGATCTCATTCATCTAACAAATGTTAGGTCAAGTTGATTTGATTTGATTGGGTTGGTATCGTGGGAGAAATTATTATGGGCGGTTACCGGATCGTTCGGAGGGGAATTAGGATGTGCCACATCACTCGGTATATAGCAGCGTGCATATTAAAAAAATAACACGGCGCATCCTGATTCGTCTTTGAAAGACGTTCAATGACCGCACAGAATAATTTCGCTCATGGAGCCTTCATCACTATTATTTATTATTTTTTACTTCAATTTCTGTAAGTACTAAATCTTTTTGCTACTAACTCCTCTTTCATCTTATTGAAAGCATTAAGACAGAGGTTCCAAGCTAGAACTGGCTCTCTTGAATTGCTCAATGCTATTGGAAGACTCAATGGTGGAGCATTCAATAAGGATTTAGACTTTGAAACTATGATTAATTATATAGACTTACTTAATCTTCTTATAAAATTTTGTAAGAGATAAAAAAAGATCTTAATTTATATGCAATTTCGTTTTATTAAAATAGACTTCTATGAGTGATCTAACATAAATTAATTTATTCTTATACTATTTTGTGTAACTGTACCATCTTTTTTTTTTTTTCCCTTAAAAAGGTTCTTTTTTTTTACCTTCCAAAATAATTCATTGATTTCTTTAGCTTCAAATGGAGGATTATTAGGTGTGGAGACCGGACACCTAAAACAGTTCGGTTTTGTGTCTGTGAACAATAAAAGCACAGTGATGAACAATAACTACGTTTTTACTGTTCACAGTCACAAAACCATACGGTTCTCTGTGTCTGGACTTCGCACGTAATAATCTCTTGAGCAAATGAGGAGGATTTTAAAGCTTTTGTAAAAATTCAATAGCTTAAACTTATCAATTATGATTCATTGTCATCTCTAATTATAAGATGAATTTCAAACTTGTTACCAAATAAATTTTTTTAGCATATTTGTTGTAGCATCCATAACAAGTAATCAACCACCACCTAGAGGTATTAGAGTTGCTTATTTGCTTACAAGAACGGAATGATGAAATTCTTCTCCCATATCATGAAAGGCAATAATGTTTGCATGAGCCATTTATTAAACTTGTCCGTTCTTCTGATGTTTAATACAACTGATTCACCAATCTTAAGAGCATTGCATGGAATACTAATCCTATGTGCTTTCCTTAAGAGGATTGTATGCATATTAGCTACGATACGAAGGATTGGGATCGTTTCTTGTAATTCATGCATACGAGTTGCTTTGAGAATTAAGTGCCAAGGATCGTATAATCATTCTCAATTTTCATGATATTTTACGAGAAATATGAGATATTCGATTGCATATGAGGTATGAGAAACTAAAAAATCTTGATTTGTACATGTTAGATTCTAAGGTAGCTAATTAGGGTTTATGGACTTAAAGGAGTAGACCTCTCAAAGGTTGATTTTTTTGAATCACCTACATAAAATAAGATCTCTCATTTGATTTGAGTTTCTAAGTTTAACAAATGCATAATGCTTAAAAAAATTATGAGAATGATTGACAACATATAGGATTTTGACTAACAACATTATCATTTTCAAACATCAAAATTTTGTATTAGATGTGATAAATTTATTTTGACTAACATATAAAATTATGATAAAAACTAGTGAATTTTATCATTGTTATACACACTTTTGTCTTTCATATTGCCCAATTCATTACATGCATACCACTTTATTTTATGGTATTTACATATTTAATATCTAAATTTTTAATATTACATTCATATCAATCATATAAAATTTAAATATCAAATATATTATTCATATATTTCATTCTTGTCATCCATACCATCATATAAATTTTAATATTTTATTTCATATACTCATATTTGTTAATATTAAAAATTTAGATGTTATATATATAAATAATATGAAATAAATGGTATGCATGTGAATACCCCTTCATTTTAATATCTAGTTTTTTTTTTCTTTTCTTTTTTTCTTCTTTGTTAGCTTCTTCTCTTTTAGGGGGTGTTTGGTATAGGATTGGATTCAATTTTAGTAGGATTTACTAAATCCTGTAAATCCGGATTTAGTAAATCCTATGCTCTTAAATCCTGAATTGTGTTTGGTATGACAATTTTTAAATCCTGTTAAATCCAGAAAGATGTTTGGATTTAAAACAGTTGGAGATTTAAAATTGAATAACAAAATATTTTGAAATAAAAATTATTTAAAAAATAATATTACTACTAATTATTTAATTAATAAATTAGCATTACTATTCTTATTAGTTAATATAAATTTTTATTATTAATTATCTCATTACATCACTTAGAGAAATTCTACGGCTCATTAATTATTTAATATTATTATAGTAAATAATATTTAATAAGTTAAGATAATTATATTAATTTATAATTGCTAAATAATCATTACTAACTATTTATTAAGTAAATAGATAACTTAAATTATACCACAATTCTAATATTAATAGTAATATTAAGGGATACCCATACATACACCTGAAACTAACCTTAAAATACCCTTAATTCAAAACCCCCCTAAAGTTTCATATTTACTAATATTACCACTATCCTATTCTAAACATTAGATATAGCACTCCGTCGGTTCCTTCCGTCCAAAACCCCTCTCCCCAAACCCACTCAATTTCCCACGTGAAAGCCTCGGCGAAAACTTCGCGGCCTCTCTCACGAGCAGGTACGAATCCCGTCTCTCCTTTCACGCTCTTCTTTCATCATAGTCACCATCGGCCTAAGATAAATCCCGACATGAAAAAGGGTCCTTAGTGAAGCATGAAAAACTTATTTTCCAAATGCCGAGCACAGAGTGGCATGAGATACTGTGGAAAAATATAAAAAAATACTTCATTGTGAGGATGGCAACAAGCGGGTCCAAAATTTGGTTTGGCAGCTCAAAAGTTACAAGCTACATGAACTTGCATAAAGAAAAATGGAGGAGAAGATCCTTAAAATTAGTCGCAAGTTAACTCTTTACTTGAAAATGTATTGTCATGCAAGTGGTCTAACCGACATTCTCTTATGCACTATTAAAAACCACTACAATACGAAAAATAGGTCGAACCTTAACGCATGCGGTCGAAGGATGCCCGAGAAGTGTGACAGATTGAGAGAAGACAATAAAACAACAACAAATACATTCATATGGTGAAAAAATTTAGAATCATCCTTCGATCTTCGAACAACAAACACATTCACGAAATATAAAATACCACTTAAACCTTGCCGGATTTCTCTGCGAAACGTGACGAGAAAAGCGAGGCCAAGGGAAATGCGCCTCGTGTGAAAACCTTCAAACGCGACCCAAGCCCAAATGCAAGGGTGGAGTCGAGAACGAGGGGAAGACAAGGGTAAACGCGGAGAAGGGAAGGGGTTCACGACTGAATAGAGAGAAGCGAGATAGGGCTTTTACACGGAACCCAAACGGCGTGATTAACGTATTTTATGTGGTATATTAGTAAATATGAATTTTAGGTGTGAATAGGTATTTAATAGTTCAGGGTATGCATGTAAAAATCCTATTTTAAATGAAATATTAATGAAGTTAACCAGGCTAGGGTTTTTGTTTAATCTTCTACTCACCATCCTGTTCGGCTTCGTTGCTTTCCACAGGAAGTGTTGAAATTGCACGAGTCGCTTCTTGGGCTCCTTTGTTGCTTCGAAGGAGTTGTTGAGATTGCGCGAGTCCTTCTTCGGCTCCTTCGTTGCTGTTCGACTTGCGAGTCGCTTCTTCGGCTCATTCGTTGCTGTTCGACTTGCGAGTCGTTGCTGTTCGACTTCGCTCCTTCGACGACGTTCCCTTCCTATCGGATCGGACGTTACAACATTTTGATCTGAAGCAACGACGGGAGCTCCCTCTCGCTCGCTGTGAAGATAACTTTCTCCCTTTCGCGCGCTTCTTCGGCCAAATCCCGTAAATCCGACTTCTAGCGGGATTTGGATTTACCGGGATTTAGCGGATTTACGCCGTAAATCCGCAAATCCGGGATTTACGGATTTGCCGGATTTACGGCGCCATTTTTTGCGTTTGGCTGGATTTACCGTAAATCCTACTAAAAACTCGAAATAAATCCGATACCAAACACCCCCTTATATTTCTTTTGGCATTTCGGTTTAGAGGTTCGGCGGTGGTTCGAGTGCCCTGTGAATGGCGTCGAACTCATGGCACCATCACATAAGGCCTCTCTCCGGCACGCTCTTCCTCGCGTTCCCTCTTCTCCTTATCGCTTTTTTCTTCGCCGCCCGCTCCTCCCCCTTTTCCGCACTTTCACTTTCCCGCAACCCCTTGTCATTACCAACCTCGCGCCGGGGATCGGTCATCTGGAGCGCCAACCGACTCTTTGAATGGCGGCCATGTGGCTGGTGGACTGCCAAAGCCATCACCGGTACGCGCGATTAGGATTAGGGTTGGCTTCATTTTGATCTTGATGTAGATCTATTGTTATTTCTTTTAGTGTTGTATTGTTACTCCTGAATCAGTCTCAACTGGCTTCATTGCAGAAGTTTCCATTCCTTTTTTGTTGAAATGCTGCAGCTCTTCCTGCTAGAAGCAACGGTTACGTGAGAATTGACTGCTATGGCGGCCTTAATCAGATGAGACGCGATGTGAGTGAGTAGGGTTTTAGTTTCATCTTCTTCTTTTATCTTTAATTTTGTAAGGATTTAATGTTTAGGGCAATTTCAGTTGTGTGATGGCGTTGGGATTGCTCGCCTGCTGAACGCCACTTTGGTTCTGCCCAAGTTTGAGGTCGCAGCTTATTGGAATGAATCAAGGTACTTGTGTTAAAAATAAGTTTTTTTTTTTCAATTCTCTTCTGTGAATAAAAGTGCTAATTGTTTTTTTTTTTTTTGGTTCAGTGGCTTTGGGGATATTTTTGATGTAGACTACTTCATCCAGCAAACCATGGGATTTGTGGAAGTTGTGAAGGAGTTGCCCAATGATCTTGCATCAAAGGAACCGTTCAAAGTGGACTGCAGCAAACGGAAAGGGAATTTCGACTATGTTGAAGCAGTTCTTCCTGCACTCAAGAAACATCACTATATATCTATTACACCAGCAATGAGCCAAAGAAGAGATAGGTACCTTTTTTTTTCTTAAAATGTTCACAAAACATCCTATTTGATGCTTTTAATTATTGCAAGCATAATCTATGATGACATCCTTTAGCTTATTCTGGAATTACATATTACAAGGAGGTTGAGGCAAACGTCATAGGTCTTTAATCTAATGCATCTTAATATTTACTTATTTAATCTGATGAAAATTGTAGAAATTACTTGGTTAGTTGTAAGTTAAGTACTATAACAAAAACACTACTGGACACTCAGCCTTGATAAGCATTGTAACTGAGAAATGTAACCAAATTAAGGATTTTATTTCATTTTTTCAGTTATTTGAACGTTGAATATGGTAAATTGATATAAGATTTTCGTGTGCTCCCATCCTTTCATTTCTATTTTAATCATGTTTTTCCCCTCTAATAGAAAATGATTATCCTAGGCTTTAGTCTGTGATGATCATTGTTGAGATTATATCTTGGCATGCACCTTCGTGTAAGGTTTTAGGTGCTCGAATGATGTTATTATTATTTTAATTATTTCTTAAAACATTCGTGACCACATTATGAGATGGAGGGCTACAAATTGAATGATTGAGAAGAAAGTATGGGCGATGAACAAGATAAAATAGATAGAAACAAAAGGTTAGATTAAGCTTATGTTATGGAAGCCACCAAGTTAAGTTTTTGCCTGCTTATTTATACTTGAAAAATAATTTTTGAGTCTTATGGATGCGTTTCTTAGAGAATCTATTTGGCATAGTTTTGTCCTTTTGGTACTTTGAACAAATCTTGAAAAATGTGCTTTTTAAATATTCTATTGTAGGATTTTTTTTTGTAATAATTATCATGTTATATTTGCTGAAAGTATTTCTCCTAATTAAAATAAATGAAAATTTTTAGCACTTCACTTTACTCAGATTTATGCCTAAATTGGTGCTAATTCCTTAGACATTAGCTGTTGTCTTAAGAGTGCTTAGTAACATCTATAACATTACATTGGAATACACATCTCTTAAAACATTTGGATCCCTAGATGTTGTTTATGAGTGTTGGGTCATATTGCAGTCATAACTAGGTTGAATGCTTAACACGAGATGTAAGATGAATACAACAACAACGACAACAATATCAAGTCTTTATCCCAATACGTGAAGTCGGCTCAAATGAACGTGTATTAAAATTATGAAGTGAACTTTCAAATGAATTTTTGATAAAATGTCAAGGTAAAAATTTTCAAGGATTTGATAATAAAGAATATATTATAATCCTTAGGTCATGCACAAGTAGTGTAGAGGATGCACAAATTAGTGGGGCAAAGAAATGTCAAAGCAATGAGAATTGAGGGTGTTGCCTAAAGTTGAATATATTCTTCAAATAAGCCACACACATTTTTTTTGTATTAGAATAAAGATAATGAGGACCAATAAATATTGCCAGAGGTTAGTAAAAATTAATGGATGAAGGATTAAAATATGTATTCTAAAGAATTTTCCTGAATGGTAAATACAGATTTTTTAGTCTTTTTCTATAAACAAGATGGTCCGCCATGTTCACGAGGGTCTTTATGCAAATGATAGATGCAATGTTATCTAAATATATCTTAGGCTTGTGGTATGATTATGTGCCAACTAGTACAATGACCATAAGCAAGTGCTCATAGCCTATCATATGATACCAAATCCAAAACATGCCAGTATATAATTTGATCTATTCTTTCGACGTATAAAATGGACAACTGTTCATTTTATATATTTTTGTAGACATGGCAGAGGTGTCAATAAATTTAAAAGAGTTTTGCCCATTTTTGTGTTTTGTAGAAGATTTACCTTATGAGCCCACTCGAGTGTCCAAAACTTCATAGAGCATCACAAAAAATCTATATGAAAATCAATAAATCTCTAGTTATTCCTACAAAAGCAATAAAAACGATTGTACGCTGGGTTGAAGGAAGAAAAACAGTAAACATCACATAACTCCAAGACTTTTCAGCACATTGTATTGCAAAAGCCAATGCACAAAACAATTATTACATGAAATACGGGTTATTTCATTAACCCGCTATTAAAATTTTTATTACATGTCTTTCAAATGTCCCTAAGTGTCTTATACATCAATATTGGCAATTCAATATAGATCCTAAGGAAAAATGTACAAGAAAGTAAAATAAGGAAGTATGAGCCTATTGGTTTGACAAATGTATGAGTGCCACACAAGTAGAACCGAGGGAATCAGGTCAGTTTATTAGCTCAAACAATGCATGAGGTGCAGCATTGAACCAAGGGCTGTTAGATTCCATCTTGACAATGTTTGAGATGTTAAGCTCAAGTCGCCCAACATGCGAGCATGTTTTAGGTTTTATTTTAAGGTTATCAGTTTTTACTGGAGAGCCAACGGGAGTGCAACTTTCAATTGCAAAAAGTTCATTCCCCAATGATTTAAGCAGCTCAACAGTTGGGTATCGTCATCGAAACAGTGCAATATCAGTCGGTTAGGGTTTTTATTACTCCAAAATATAGGCAATAAACCCTCCTAATGGTGTCTAAAGATACCTGTAGATAAGCTTATGGGCTTGCCAAGGGGTGGAAGTTTCTACTTACTGTTGTAGGGTGCGAGTCGAAGGAGATTCATTAGGTGGAGGCCTCATCTGTGGATTGATCTTGCACTAATCATATCTATCAACTTAGAGATGAGGAGTTGGTAGAAAATACTTGGAGGCATGTAAAATTTTTTTCTTCTAGTTTTACTCTTGTGTGTGCAAGTTTTATGTCTAGTTCTTTCCAATGCAGTACAAGAGCGACTATCTAATTATATGTGAAGGCATTTCCTTGTACCGACATGAGTTCTAGTTTTTTTTTTTTGTAATTTCTTTTATTTTTTTTATCTAATTTTTTCAGCATAACTTATCATTGGCTTGATAATATTGCTGATTTTATTCAAATTTGACACAATTAGAGTTTTATTTGTGGTAATTGTATTACAATCAAATTTTTATCTTGCATGATTTGAATTTTTTGCTTAATTATTTATTTATTTGGTCATTACACTATTGCTTGGGTTCACATCACTATTGTTTTTGGCTTATTTGGTGATTTGTGATATAGATCCCAAGTTCCCCTACGTTATTTACCTACATAGCATTATTTTAGTTGCATTAAGAAACTCTAACCCTTAATTGGCTTGTGTCAAGTTACTAATTAGAGATTATCATTATATCAACATTTTAACTTAATATAAGACTTATTGATTTGGTCAATTAAAAATTAATAAATGATACAATTTAAGCAGGGTAGGGTAATTTATAATTATAGCCAACAACAACCGTGTAATTATCATGATGCTCAAAACTACATTTATATATTTGATGGGAGGCATGATCATAGAAAATTTTGGTAGGGACTTGAGATCCTTGAGCACATAGATTAAGTATTCAATCAATGGATCGATCCTTTTATGACCCTTGAATGTAACCCTTATGCATCTTCTTCCTCTTCTAGCAGTCAACTCTTGTCGGAGTTTTTTTTCATTTTTTGTTAATAGATTTGATTTATTTCTATTATAAGACCTTTGAAAAAGTTTATACATACTTCAACACTTTGTATATAAGTAGGCAATAAAATTCGAAGTAGTTTTTTCTACTTTTTTTACATGATATCAAGGCGATGTTAGAGTTTTCTTCTTCTAATAATTCTATTTTCTTCCTATCAGAATTCTTCCCTTTTTTATTTTGGTTTGTCTGGCTTTCCTCTAAGGAGTCAACCATCATGAATAGTGAAAGTCAAACTAAAGGAAAACTCTAAGGGCCATGTGCTTCATATCGCTTGAATATGAGAAATTATTCGAAATGGTTCCAAATTATAAACACCTTTCCAGAAGGAAAGGGAAAAATCCTTCATATTGTAGATCATCCTAGGAGCTAAAAGATGCAAAGTTTATACTTTGGAAGGAAATAGATTCCATGATCATGACATAGTTGTGGAATATTATGGTGCCTAAAATTAGTAGGCCATATATATTTTTCTCTTCTGCAAAAGAAGTTTGGGATGCTGTCAAACATATGTACTAAAAAGTGAATGATGTTGCTATTATCTATGTGATCAAAAGTAAGATTTCAACAACAAAGCAATATAATATTTTTGTTATTGAGTACTTTAATGTAATTAAGGTTTATTGACTTGAGTTGAATTATTACCAAGTTCTTAAGAAGATATGCTACGATGATAAATTAATTGTCAAGAAATTTTAGAGAAAAAGAAAGCGTGTTTGATTTCCTTACAGGACTCGATAATAACTTCAACCAAGTTTGTGTTCAAATATTAAGCAGAGAAAACCTACCATCACTCTGTCATACGAGCCTAAGAATGAAGAGGGGCCATATTACTCGACACCTAAATCTTCAAAACATCTGCCCTTACAACCATCAAACTCCAAGGTAAGGGATTTACTACTATGGATTCTTTCCCTAAAGAATTACAAAAGCATTTTTCTAAAGGTAATCTATAGTGTAGTTAGTGCATGAAGAAATGCACATCATTAAAAAATATTGGAAATTCCACGGAACGCTCTCAGGATATGGTTGAAATAAAAAATATCACAAAAAAATAGGCTTATCTTGAAGATGAGAACGACTTGTTTTATCCCTTTATTTCCACCCTCAATACAAAAGCCGTTTGGGAACAACATTATAGGCTAGGGTATCTCTTTTACAAAAACCTACAATGTATATTTCATTCTTTTTTTTAATATTAACCTAAAAATTTTTTATTAAGAAATTGCTAAATATCTTTGAGTTACTTTTCCTTGAAAGTGATTATAGATTCTCTACTTATTTTATGACTGTTCATTTTGACATTTGTGGGCTTTTCAAAACCTTAAGTACTTTTGGAGCTAAAGTATTTGTTACCTTCATTGATGATTACACTCTGATGACATGGATATATTTTGTCAAATAGAAATATAAGGTCAACATTATTCTCCCTATTTTTACTACCATTATACCAAACTAATTTCATGTTAAAATCAAAGTATTTCAGACAAATAGTGCCGATAATATGGAGGGGAAAAATACAACATTTTATTTCAAAATTTAGCAATGAATCTAAATTTAAAGTCATTGCCTGAAGATTTTGTGAGCTTTTGTAGATCAAAACCAGTTTGGAAGATGTAAAAATCAAATAGGAAAGGCTAATGAAGACATGTTGTTACAATAAATCCACTTTCATCATTGCTCATGATCCAACACAACATGATTGTACCAAACATGTGGAGGTGGATAGACATTTCATAAAAGAAAAACTAGAAAGTGCGTTGATTTGCACTTCATATGTGTTAACATGAAATCAACTTGTTGACATTCTCACATAAGAACTTTGCAACCTCATATTTAAAAAAAAACTATTGCAATCTTGAAATGATGGATTTATATCACTTAGTTTTCGGGGGAGTGTTCAATGATTGTAGAATCAACAAGTCAATTAATATTGGTAGGGAGCCTTGAGCACATAGATTAAAGGTTATAGCTATTTAATCAATCCTCTTATGACCCTTAGGGGCTGTTTGGTAGCACCCAGGATTTGATTTAAGTAGGATTTCGTAAATCCTCTAAATCCGGATTTTGACAATCCTGAGGGGCCTCCTGAAAACTGTTTGGTAACATTCATGATAAGTCCTATTAAATCCCGTACGATTGTTTGACTATAGAGCGGATTTAACGAGCGGACTCTTCCTCTGGAACCAATAGATTTGGTAAATACGACAAAAAATAGGATTTCAGAAATCCGGGATTTAGCACGAAAAGATAGAATTTTCCGTCTACAACGGCTTTCATTTGCCGTGATATTTGGTTTTGCATTTTAGGTCGTTTGGCTGGATTTAGCTCAAATCCAGCCAAAATCCTACTACCAAACTGCCCCTTAGATTGTAATATGTGTACCTCTTTTTCCTCTTCTAGCCTCTAGCCTTTCTTAGGGATTTTTTTTTTTAAATAGTTTTGATTTATTTTTATTGAAAGAATTTTAGAGAATTCTATATATACTTCCACACTTTGCACAAAATTAGATAATAAAATTTAAAATAGTTTTTTTTCCTAATTTTCTACTTTCCTACAGTTTCTATTTAAGAGCACAAGTAAATTTCAGCCATTAGGTGGCAGAGCATAATACATATTAATTTTTTTTCCTTTTAATATGCACTGTTTTATCTTTTTTTTGTGTAAAGGTAAATGCTTTAGAAATACTTGTATTTATTATGAATTACAAAAATTATATTGTGTCTAAAAGAAATTGGTTAAAAATTAAGTCTTTGCTCATCCTTATAAAATTCCATAAATTTTGGCCTGTGTTTCTCACTTGACTTGCAATATTAGACTTTTTATCTATCACTTTTCTCTCTTATGCGTAATAAATAATTTGCTATTGAAAATTAAAGCAAGGAAGATTTTTTTATCAACTTATTTCCTTTTATCACATACACTTGCTCCTGTTACTAAGGGTAATGCTAAGAAACTCTTATATAAATAATTATCTAGTTCGATCATTTATGGATGGATATGGAACTGGATAAGATATGGAAATGGGAATGTTGCTTTTCTAGAAAATCTAAAGGTTAAGTTAGAAGTACTTACTGTGATACCACCAATAGCATTAATAAACTATTGGGGTCATGATGCAAAATATGTTACTTTATTTGACGGAGGCTCCAACTGAATTTGTGGACAATAGGATCCTTAATTTGGTTACATTTCTCAGTTACAATGCTTATCAAGGCTGAGTGTCCAGTAGTGTTTTTGTTATAGTACTTAACTTACAACTCACCAAGTAATTTCTACAATTTTCATCAGATTAAATAAGTAAATATTTAGATGTATTAGATTAAAGACCTATAACGTTTGCATCACCCTCCTTGTAATATGTAATTCCAGAATAAGCTAAAGGATGCCATCATAGATTATGCTTGCAATTGTTAAAAGCATCAAAAAGGATGTTTTGTGTACATTTTAAGAAGAAAAAAAAGGTACCTATCTCTTCTTTGGCTCATTGCTGGTGTAATCGATATATAGTGATGTTTCTTGAGTGTAGGAAGAACTGCTTCAACATAGTCGAAATTCCCTTTCCGTTTGCTGCAGTCCACTTTGAACGGTTCCTTTGATGCAAGATCATTGGGCAACTCCTTCACAACTTCCACAAATCCCTTGGTTTGCTGGATGAAGTAGTCTACATCAAAAATGTCCTCAAAGCCACTGAACAAAAAAAAAATACTATTAACACTTTCATTCACAGAAGAGAATTGAGAAAAAAAAAAGCTTATTTTTAACACAAGTACCTTGATTCATTCCAATAAGCTGCGACCTCAAACTTGGGCAGAACCAAAGTCGCGTTCAGCAGGCGAGCAATCCCAACGCCATCACACAACTGAAATTGCCCTAAACATTAAAATCCTTCCAAAATTAAAGCCAAAAGAAGAAAATGAAACTAAAACCCTACTCACTCACATCGCGTCTCATCTGATTAAGGCCGCCATAGCAGTCAATTCTCACGTAACCGTTGCTTCTAGCAGGAAGAGCTGCATCATTTCAACAAAAAAGGAATGGAAACTTCTGCAATGAAGCCAGTTGAAACTGATTCAGGAGTAACAATACAACACTAATAGAAATAACAATAGATCTACATAAAGATCAAAATGAAGCCAACCCTAATCCTAATCGCGCGTACCGGTGATGGCTTTGTCAGTCCACCAGCCACATGGCCGCCATTCAAAGAGTCGGTTGGCGCTCCAGATGACCGATCCCCGGCGCGAGGCGGGTAAAGACGAGGGATTGCGGGAAAGTGAAAGTGTGGAAAAGGGGGAGGAGCGGGCGGCGAAGAACAAAGCGATAAGAAGAAGAGGGAACGCTAGGAGAAGCGTGCCGGAGAGAGGCCTTATGTGATGGTGCCATGAGTTTGACGCCATTCACAGTACTCTCGAACCAGCGCCGAAGATCTAAACCGAAAGTGCCAAAAGAAAGGTTTAATGCTTGGTAGCAAGTTTACGGACTATAGAATAGAGTGCTTGTAGTCTTTTGTCGCCAACTTTCATGCCCTGTAATGGGAAGATGAGAAATACTAGACAAGCATTTTATTTAAATTTTATTCCACAGAAAAGCCTTATTTATCAAAACATGGAAGGGAGACAGTTCATGGGACTTTTCTCTACATTTTTTCTTCAGTGACACTCTTGTATACAAGCTGATCGTTCTGAACTAATTTTATATTTCCAAAGTTTTAAATACTTGTCATTATAAAGACACTCTGAACTGATATATTTCTGAATCCTGATTACATTTTTAAACATTTGACCGTTATAAAATATCCCAATTAACTGAGATTTTAACCCTACTTAAGATTGCAGTTAAATCTTTCTGTCATCCCTTACAATCATTAGTCTCATTGATTGTTGTATGACATGGCAGGTATCCTCTCTATGCCAAGGCTGCGTTATGCCAATCTTGCTACAGGGCACTTCGCCTTAACAAGGCTTTGGAAGCTAAAGCCAAGGAGCTTTTCAACGCGATTCCAAAACCCTTTCTCTCTCTCCATCTCAGATTCGAGCCAGACATGGTCGCTTACAGCCAATGTGAATACTCAGGCTTATCTCCCTCCTCTCTAGCAGCCATAGATTCTGCTCGTGGCGATCGAAAACCATGGACCGGCGACGCAGCCATTGCATGGAGAAACCGTGGAAAATGCCCTCTCACGCCGGCCGAAACCGCCTTCATTCTTCAGTCTCTTTCCATTCCCACAAACACAAACATTTATCTAGCAGCTGGTGATGGCCTAATGGAGATTGAAGGCCTCACTGGTTCTTATACTAAGGTCTTTTCCAAATCATCTTTTCTAGACAGTGAAGACTTTGTGAACATGCATGGGAACACCAAAGCAGCTCTGGATTACTATATTTCGATAAACAGTGATGGATATATAGCTACCTATTTTGGAAATATGGATAAAATGGTTTCAGCAATGAGAGTATTGAATGGAATGCACAAAACTCTGTTTCTAAGCAGAAGAGCTTTTGCCAATTACAGTGAGAAGGGGCTGCAGGGAGAGAAGCTTGCAGACGCTTTGTGGAGAGAACATTTTGATGACTTTGTAACTGGGAGAGGCTTTGCTTTGCCTGAATGCTTTTGTGAATTTAAGCTGTAGCTCTCTCTCTCTCTCTAAATTATTCTGTGCGCAAACCGGACGCAAAATGCTGTCAGAAGATCAATAAGAATGCGGCAGCAGTACTGAGCCTGATACCAAGCACAATGTGACGTAGAGCATCCTGGTTGGCCTCCGAACGGAATTCAATGTCCGCACAGAATAATTTTTGCTCTCTATCTCTCTCTTCATGAATTCTGATGATATATTGGTACTGGATTTGATGTTCCTTTTGCAGGAACAAACGCTTAATTTTGATTAATGTTAAATGTGGCTGAGAGATAATATGAATATTCATATAAAATTTATGATGTGATAATAACACTAAAGTGTTATATTAATAAATAGAAAAGTTTAAGTGTTATATATGTAAATTAAAAATAAAAATTGTGGTATGAATGTAAATCTCTGATTTAGGTTTCATTTGGGGTTATTTTTTATTGCTTTTTAAAATATCTTTCTAGTATAAAAATGTTAATTTTTTAACTTAAAAAATTGCTTTAAAAAATAAAAAAAATGTGCCCCAAATGAAATATTAATTTTTACTAAATTGATGCACTTTGTCTATTTATTTTTTAATTTGTCTTATTCCTTATTGTTAATAAAATGAAATTAGATATTTTTGAATACCTTAATAGCCGACATAATTGGTTCAATAAACATTAAACACCTTTCTTATTACTCTGATTGGATTAATATTAGACCTTGCATGAGATAATTAATTATTTAATGATCAAAGAGAGTAGATTGTGATTAACTTTTTCTTATTACTGTTAATTAAGGATTAAATTAATTATTTAAAATGCTTATAAATTCATTAGGAATAAACAAAGTGATTATTAAAGTTTATTAGTGTCAAAACAATTGGTTCCATTGAAAAAGTTTAATTAACTATCCACTTAAGATTATTAAGAAATTAATTAAATTTTAATTTAGTACAATAATATTTCATAATTGCTTAATTATAATTATTTAAATTTGTTAATTAGATTATGACATAAATAGAATTTAATTAAGGAAATTAATTATTCGAAGTAATAATAATAATTGAAATTGTCGAATACTATTGCTACAGGGCAGCTATAAAAACCGGTGATAAGCGCTTGGGGTCGACCACCCGAAGCCATGGCAGCTCTCCACTCTTCCGCCCTCATCGCTTCGGTATCCCCTCGGTCGCCGGCGAGAGTATCGCAGGTCTTTCAACGGGGCTTGTATGGAGGTTCTGTATCGGCGGCGGTAGAGGTACAAGTTTCTTCCTCGATTGGCCGCTCGCGGAATTTATCTAACAGCTCTGCCTCCACGCCGTGGTCCCCTCTTCCTCCTCGATACGGCTCCAGATCGGTGTGTTGTGAGGCGGCGGGAGAAGGATCATCGGAAAGCTTCGATGGAACTGTATACAAGGGCATCTATGGTCCGTGGACAGTCGAGCCTTCGGACGTCAGAGAGGTTGTTGCTTCGTTTTCACACTTCCTGATTAACTTTTATTACTTTTTTTAAGGTTTCATGATTGATTTTGCTGATAAATATTCCAATTTTTGCTATTCTATAGCTAAATGTACCAGTGGCCGTGTTATACCGTTATTAGTGATTTAGTTCCAAATAAATATTTATTTGATTTTCTTGCTGATACTTTTGAGAAATAAGTATTTTGATGATAGGTAAAGTCTCATTTTATTGATATTTAAATCTTTTAAAAATGGGGCGTTATATAAACGTCAGGTTATGATAGCACTGAATCAAACACGTTATTTGAATGTAAAATTACATTAAATATGTTGATATCTTTAATCGTAATTGCTACTTGATAAATTTGGCGTCTCAATAAAATTAGTATCTTAATTAAAACTAGCATCTAAGAACTAAGCAGCCTCTTGAAATATATAAATGATTTTTGTCGGCTGCAGCATATATGTGCTTCTCATCAGTGGCGGAGAATTTTTTTAGCATGGGCACAAACCCTACTCCCCCTCTTAAATCCACTCTTGCTTCTCATACCTTTTTTCTCCTCTTTGCTGCTGTTGCTACATATATTACGATATAGGTGATAAACTCCTCTACAGGCCATGTTTTATCGCTTAGATTGGATGGTCATAAACTCATAGTTTAATTATGCAATCATACTATAATTGTTACAGTAGACCAATGTTTAAAATTGCGTATTCGGGTATTGAGGCGTTTTTCATTCGTGAGGCGAGACGTAAGCCTCAAGGCATTTTGAGGCGTAAGCCTCAAAATCAAAAGATTGCGTAAACATAAAATGATAAATATTTTATATACTAATGAGTGAATAATATAAAACATAAAAAAGCATAAGATATGAAGTGAAATCAAAATATCTCAATAATAAGACAACATGAAATATAGTTCAACTCAAAATTCTATCTTTCCCAAATCCCATTATTTTTTTCATTAACATATAACTCTAATTTCCAAAAATAAATAACAATGACATATCACATAAGAAACTCATAAGTCATCAGCACTGTCATCACTAAGGGGTTCTTCATTTGAATCATCATTATGATGAACTGCTCTCTCCCATTCCTCCTCTCCTATAGAGTCCAATGTCGGGCTACTTCAAGATTTATATAAGTTTTAATATATATAGCATGAGGCGTAAGCCTCATGCCAGTGAGGCGAGGCGGGTCTCAACCAAGTTGAGGCGCAAGCCTCATAAAAAAAAACTCGAGGCGTAAGCATCGAGCCGTTTTTTAGTGGAATTGCGCAAATGCAGACCTCAAGGCGAGCCTCATATTGCGCAATTTTAAACCATGCAGTGGATATCCCACTAATGCCACAGGTGTGAGATATCTACCTAGATTTTCTGATATACATCTCAATTTCTGCTAAGAAAATGGAGCCATACTTAAGTAAGGTTCAGAATTGATATACATAAAAAAAAAAACTAGTTGATTAAACATGAATCTCAATCCTATATTTAAATGAGAAACTTTCTTAGTCAAATTCAAGATCTTTTAAAGTTCCAAACCTCAATTTTAGCGAACTTATAGTTGAATCGAACATCTTGATGACATGAACCCATTGACAATTTCTTTTAAAGTGATCTAATCTGACTCCAAATGAGCCCAAATAAAGCACTTTTAGTGTTGCTAAAAATTTTGTGATATTAATTGAATGACCAAATGATCTTCAAATCACATGTGCTTACAATCAAATTTGATAGGGTTGTGCTTGTGGATGCGTTTGTAAAATATACCCCAATAAGTAGAAAGTAATATGAAGTCCTCTTCTTTCTCAAAGATAGCTTGTTTAGCAGGGATTTTCATGGGCATTTTTTTTCCTTTTTTTTCATTGGAGGTATGCTAGTCAAGTTATTAATAAGAGTACACGTTTTAGATATCTTGGATCTATTGTTCAAAGTTATGGTGAAATAGATAGGAATATTATTAGTAGAATTCTAGTTGATGCTTGATGGTTGAAGTGGTAGAATGCATCGGGCTTGTTGTGTGATAGAAAAGTTGTCCCCCTCAAAGTTAAGAGAAATTTTATAAGATGTTGGTAAGAACTGCAATGCTTTATGGCGCAGAATGTTGGCCATTGAAAGATAAGCATAATATTAAGTTAAGTGTTGCAGAGATGAGGACGCTCAGGTGGATGAGTGGCTTTACTCTTAGTGACAGGATACGAATGAGCTTATACGTGAAATGTTGGAGTAGCTCCAGTGGAAGATAAGATTAGAGAGAGTTACCTTAGATGGTTTGGTCACATGGCGGCCTTTTGATGCCCTGGTTAGGAAAGTAGATGTATTATATTTGACTTATATTAAGAAAAGTATAGGTAGACCTTAAAAGACTTGGTTAGAAAATATTAGTTGACCTTTCCTTACTAGATATAAATGACAATTTGACTCTTAATATGACACAATGGAGAAAAAGATTCATGTAGTTGACCCCACGTAGTGGATTAAAGGATTGCTATAGTTATTGTTGTTGGAGGTATGCTGGTACCGTCGAGAAGAAGTTCATTTTTATGGGTTGAATAAAAGTCTGTTTTTTCCAAACTAACTTAACAAATTCATTTCTCACCAAAATCTTATTGGACTATGTAGCTTGTTTTTTTTTTGCTTAACATGGAAGTAAACCTGCATGTAATTGTTTTTTCACGTTCAACTTCTGTAGTATTGCACATAACATTTATCCAGTTTGCTTCTTGGTTTGTAGAATGTCATCTGTTTGCCCCATTTATATGGATTGGATTATGCCTATTAACTTATTTATGAAAATTTTCTTTCTGGGTGATGAAAAAAATATAATAATTTTTGTGTTTTGTAGGATTAGGATCCAACCTACTCATAACATGTGCAGAAAGATTGACAAACGTTTTCTATAGAATGGTACTATTGGCATCTTTGGTTAACAATGTATCTTAATTTATTTATATCCTGTTTCAGGTGATCTTGTACAGGTCAGGGTTAGTAACAGCTGCGTCATCATTTGTGCTTGCTGCTTCTACTGCTTTTCTTCCAGAGAATGCTACCTTTAGGGAATTTCTCAAGCAAAATATCGACTTCATATATGTTGCCGGAGCTGGTGGATTAGGTTTATCATTACTCTTGATTCATATATATGTCACACCAATCAAACGCTTTCTTCAGGCGTTGTGGGTTATTGGCGTTTTTGGATCTGCGGCTACATATGTCTATCTGGCTAATCCATTAAATGAGGGCTTGGTACAATATGTCATAGAAAACCCATCCGCTATATGGTTTGTTGGACCCCTCTTTGCAGCTCTAACTGGTCTTGTTTTCAAAGAGGGTAAAGTTTGTTTTCTTTAAATACTACTGACAAACTGTTTCAGATTTGTTTTTATTTTAGTGTTACACATCATCCATAACACTGTCGTTGCCAGGTCCTAAGTCTTGGATAAGAAAAGTTGAGGGTTGCGTTAGGTGGTCGACAACCAGTGTAAAATTTGTCAGATAATCATGACATTGTTACTCACCAATCACCATCCATGTTTTTTGTTTTTGTTTTTTTTTTTTCTATAAACATACTATTTTTGCTTAGTTGTTTCTCACACATCTGAAATAAAAAGTACGCAATTACAGTTTTCTTAATTGAACCGAAGCACAATTGTTCTAATTTGTTTTTAAGTAAACGCAATGGCTAGGAAACTCACTCACGAAAAACATAAAAATTATACAGGAAGTATCTCTTTGAGTTTGTGTAGATTTAGAGGCATTCTACTTCTACCCTTAAGTTGTAAACAACCAGCACAATAGCAAAACCCATGCCAAACAAATCACTTGAATGTGCTGCTTAAGTAACCGTTAAAGGCGTTCATAAAAATCAAAGAAAGGAATCACTAGCACATACAGTCATGAGTGCGTAAGAAAGCATTTATGAAACCTAGTGCACTAACTTTAATAAAAGCAGATATTAATTGATAATTGTACTCTATTATTCTTGAAATCTATATGCAGTTCCTTATCCATCTTAATATTGAAAAGTAGATATTAATTGAGAATTGAAACCCATTAGGCTTGAATTCTATACTAAATTTCTCATCTGAGCGTTGATTGCTGATGTAATGCGTGCAGGTCTTTGCTATGGTAAGCTAGAAGCTGGTGTGCTGACATTCATCATCCCTGTTTTGCTTCTTGGTCATCTGGTACATACATTTATATTTCATTAGTTATCAGATTTGATTTATTTAAACATTAATTTTGCTTGATAGCTTGTAGGCTAAATTAAAATTCGAATTCATTTCATTGGTTTTGATGTAAGTTTTTTTATTGTCTGTCAACCGAATAGGCTAATCCAACTCTCACTCTTCTCAGCGGGGTACAATTGGCAATGGAACTTATCAAATAACCAAATTGCCAATAAAAATGCTTAAATAATTTTGTTAAATAAGTCTTGATGGCTTAATACCTTAAGCAATACTTAATAGAAAAAACTAGAAAATAAAGATCTATAAAGGCAATCCCAAACAATTGAGATGGGCAAGTGATGAAGATGAGTTTGTTGCCAGCATATAAAACATCAAGCTAAGTATACCTTGCAAATTATTCTTTTGTTTATGTATGCTTGCAAGTGTGATAGTAATTATCATATACATTTAGTAGTTATTAGAAATCCATAATATTAATTTTCATAATCCTCATTATAGATAATGTTCTCCTTTATTATACTTCCCTAATTGGTCTATTCTTTAATTTTCATATAGGAATATTCGTTCTAGCATTATGAATTTTCAAATAAAGGCGTATTTTTTTATATTTTCTATCATGGTATCAGATTCAACCCTCCTAAGTTATCTTTTATCTTTTGCTCGATAAGGTCTTGTGACAATTCTGTGAGAATCCTACTTTTCTTATTTTCTTACCCGAGCCTCACAACCTCGTGGCATGTTGTTCGCTCATCATTCTTCAAGGAAGATACTCACCTTACTTCCCAACTCAAAACCAGAAAGGTCAAAGCACTTGAAGATCTAAAGGAAATGTTATCATCATCCTCATCATCCAACATCCTCTATGTTGGGAATCCCTTTGCTAGACGACAATGAGCATGCTGATATGGTTTTATTGAAGTTCTTGTGAGCACGAGACTTGGCGTGTTCAAAGATAAGGAGATGTACATTAGTTTATTCGGTGTTTAGCAAAAGCTCAAGCACTTCCTCTTATGACGGGTCTAGGTCATGAAGCATGGTGTGGGCCTTCTCTAACTTAAGCTTGGCAGCATTGATTCCATTTTTAAAGTTGTTGATCTCAAAGAATTGCCTAAGCATGGGCTCCATGTCACTTTCAACCAGATCCTCTCTTTATTTTAGGACAACTACCCTGAAATGGCCTACTGTAAGGTGCTCGTAAATGTTCAATGGTAGTATTATGTACTCCATGGTCAGCCATTTTCTTATTGAGAGGATCAAGGGCATGTTCATCATCAATATAGAAGGAAATGTAGCTAAGACCCGGTACAAGTTCATTAGGCCAGAGTTCACTACTCTTATTCCTGCTAGCACTACTATAGCCTCATATCCCTGATCTCGTAGCTTTTGTTTGCAAGTTCCGACTTCATGCACATTGAGCATGCTTTGCCCAATGGCACTTTTACATTCCATGATTCACACATGCTTGGAACTGTCACATCTCCAATCTACTATGATGACCCATATCATCTGTTTTTAGCATCTTATTCAATCTGCACAATGTCTTAGCATCTCTTTTATAGTTCTTGAGTCAACGCTCATTCACCAAAACACTTTTCTCGATATTCTTAAGAGACGACCCTCTAACCCTTGTCTCTGTATTCCACGATGATTTCATCTCTCGTGGTGATCTCGTCTCCCATCACCCATGATGGACCCATTTCCCATGAAGATCTCATCTTCCATAAAGAAGATCCCGTGAGGATCCTATGAAGATCCCATGTGGATCTTGTGAAGGTCTCATGAGGATACTTATGAAAATCCTGTGAGAATCCTTGTGAAGATCTCACATGTATCCTGTGAAGATTCCACGAGGACCCATATGAAGATCTAGTGAGGATCTCATGAAGATCTTGTGACAAAGGATCTTATGAAAATCCCTTGAGAATAGTCTTCCGTGATGATTTCGTTACCTATGGTTTCGATAATTGTTGGCCCAATGCCAATCTCTCAGGTTTTTTGGGTTTCCATAAATCATCTTGTTCTAGGCATTAATCGGCTCAAATTGGCAATTTCAAAATACTATTAATAGCTCTCTGCTTGAATCTCTCAATTATTATTGTATTGTACAAATTCTTGATGCTCTTTGTTGTGGCATCATAAGTTTGTGGGTGGATGTTAGAGTAACTATAAGTAAAATTCTTAGGATTATTATATTATCATATTAAATTATTACATATGCTTAATATTTATTAGAAATTCAGAGGATTGATTATTGTAATAATGTATCCTCATTTTGGAAGATATTTTTCTTTATTATACTTTCTTTATTGCTCTATTCTTACCTTCATGCAGGCATATTTGTATTAGCATTAGGATCATTCAAATAAAGAGGTAGCTTGTTATATTTTCTATCAACAAGAATCTGAAAGAAGTTATAAAATGACTGACATCTAGCCTTACTAATTCTACATTATTTGTGAACTTCAGCATCAAGTTAAAAAAAGGGCTATGATTATATATGAAGCCCAATAATTTCAAGGCTTTTTACTTCATATAGCATTTGACCAATAAGACAACTCCGAAATTCTTAGATTGCACATAGTTTACATAAATTAAATGTTTAAATAAAATATTATAATAATATAAACATGCCAAGTGATCATTAATAACCTTTTTTGTAATGTTTTATTGTGCAATCTTCTTAATTTATGCATCAAGAAGTCCAACAAGCTTCATCATAGTCTTTGAATGATGAATTGCGTCAACCAACTCCTTGAGCACGATATACTGTGGTAAATCAATAAGAAATTTCATATTGATGCACAACATATTGTTGACCTCTGAACAAAAATCAAAAGAACAAAAAGGAGCCTTGCCCGATGGATCCACGACTCCTGCATAAATCCTGCTCAAATCCAGCAACACCTCTGTTCATTCGGCGTTATCCCAGGATTTCTGCTCGAATCCCTCGTACACTGCTCGAGACGACACTCTGCGTGTCGTTAAATAGAGAATGAAGGTTGCCTCTCTTCTCCTACTCCCCTCTTCCACGTGAAGGCTGCTTCTGCTCTCGTCTCCAAACCACAGCCTCTCCCGCTCTCTGCTTCTCCTCCCGAGAGCCACGACTCTCCAATCCCAAGCTCTCCGAAGCTTTCTCGCTCTCCCTACAACGTCGCTCCTTCGACGACTGTTTCTTCCAGTCGGATCGGAAGCTACGATCTTTCCGATCGGAAGCTTTAAATTTACATTATTACTAATAAATTAAATAATTATTATTAAATATTACCACTATACAATAATTATAATCAATAAATTTATTATAATGAATCATTGATTATTATAATTAATTATTAATTAATAATTTAAATTATCATAATTAGATATTACATTATTATATATTAAATAATTATTAAAACATAATTAAAAATTATAATAAATAACATAATAATATAAAAATAAATAATCAACTAATCATAAATAATCTCTCACCCTCCTCTTCTCTCATGATCGCGCAAAGACTGGCCAAAGGAGCGCGAAGGGGAGAATAGCGAGCTCCCCGTGCTGGTTTCCGATCCCACAGAAGGTAATGCCGTCGGGAGCAAAGTTCGGACAGCAAGGAGGAGGTGGGGGCTTCTCGTGGTAGAAGGATTTGGCCGAGAGGGTTAGGGGGAGACGTACCGAAGAAGCTCGTGAAGGGAGAAGAGTTTATTCACAACCAGCGAGCTCACTT